TTATGTGGATTAATGTTTTAAAAATGAAAATTTTTCCATGGATTTTTGGGACGTTTCATATAATCAATTATTCAACTATTTGTTTGATTCGATGTTGTGAATAGTTTAGATATTCATGTTGTAACTAGCCCTACTTTGAACATGCATGAGTTAGAATGTTAAAATGAGTATAGGTTATACCAACAAAGGAATTATGGAACACTAAATTACTTATAGTGGTACGGTTGTGTAAACGTGTTAGGAATATATATGACTGGTAAACGGATAAACATACAATTATGACAGTCAGATATATGTTAGGATAAACAATGGAACTAGGTCACTTAGTGGTGAAATTGAGGTCGTTATAATTTTTTTTAATACAAATTATGAATAAAATGATCAATAAAACGTATAACAGATGCTTACATGAATGTAATTTACGAAAGGTATTATGCATGCCAGGAGAAGTTCTGTAGGCCATTGATCATGTGCCCCATACAAGGATAATAAAGTTAATGGAGCCTTGATAGCATAATGAGCTATTATAAATGAAGATCAGATCGTGTAATCAAAACCATATTATCAGCTTCTAAAAAATCTTTTGTGCAATATGTTCTACCAAGGGAAAAATTGTCCATATTTGTAGTGTGAGCATCTCAACCAAACAAAGTAGAACCATTCGTATTAAGAAGACCCATATAAATTCTTCCTACCACCTCCTGTGGCAACTTCATTGCTTTTTATACTCCATAAGCACTTATATAAAAGGATGATAGGAATATGAACATCGTTGATGAATTTAACCTCTAAAGTTTCGCCGCATCAACAACACGCTCGGGATGAAGTGGCTTACAGGCGGCACGATACGTGAGAGGTAAGTTTTGCAGTGTTCAGTCCATGAAAAGAGATGAATGTTTCTTAAACAGTTTGACTGACATTTTGACCAAAGTTGTTTGTTTGCAACGAGTTTTAGGCTATGAGGAGTGGTTATACCCAAACCACTCAAAAAGTGCTGCCAACTCAGCGTCACGTCAGCTACACTACAAACTCTCCACCAAACCACTAGACATTGGAAATTGTTACAACTCCACAATATTTATCTTTTTTTAACATTAAATTAAATAAAAAAACATATTTTAAAACATAAATAAATCTTTTACATTAATTAAAACCATATTACATTAATTAAAAACATTGAATTTTAAAACCTAAATTACTAAAAAAACATAAAAAACATAGAAAAATAAACCTAAATTACTAAAAAAAACATATAATCTAGTTGCTATATTTTTCGTTAACTTGTTGTTGAATTTTTAAAAACGCAGCCATATTTTCTGGGTCGAGATTCGGTTGCGACTTTGTGTTTAAAATTTGAAGATCGGTAAGTGCTATTTTTCGACGACGAGCTTCCTCCGTTGATTCAATTTTTGTTTCTAAAAAACTTAGAGTTTTGTCTATTTTTTCCGCTAGTGTATAATGTATGTAAAATAAGTGTTATTTATAGTTCTAGTATATGGTTTTTAAATTGAAATTTTTTTTTTGGGTCCAACGGTAAAAAAGAAAAAAAGGAACAAAGGAACCGGTCAAAATTTTGACCGTTGTTGTTGCCCTCCTTCTTCCTATTGGTTGTCTTCGAGCATCTTCCCATACCCATCACAGCCAAGCCAACGGACACTGAGGCGGTGTTCATGCATGAGTTGGTTGTCCATGTCAGCATCACGCGTCTTCTTCTACCCCCATTCCGAATAGTCTTAATAAAGCGTTTAGGATTGATTTTTGGTCATGGGGATCGATGAGTAAACCGTTGCCGAGTACCTGCAATAATAACGGGCTGACCTTTAGGTTGACCAAGATAAAAAGGTCGACTTTGTTTAAAAGAAAAAAAGTTTAGACTTTGTTGAATAAGTTGGAAACTTAAATAATGGTTTAAATTTTAGAATGAAACTCTAACACAACGTAACACCTTTAATTAAAGAGACTGAAAATCGCAACCCAGGTTGTTAATTTTTTGCTGAGTTTTTTTTTTGTGAAGTCTAATAATAATAAGTATTTATTAAAAGAATGTGACTGGCACGATTAATGTCTACCGGGCCTCCATTTTTTTGTAGCAACCATTGGTAACCCATGAGCAACGACCTCTTTGATGAAAAACAATGAGTTAAGGTAATGGTTTTATACTTTTATATACTTATTTGTGCATATTTTGATTAGGGATTTTGGCACCAAAACCCTACAAACTTTTACTTTTGTGTTTAAATGGTTACTCAAGTTAATTTTTAATCTCATACACTATCAAACTTAAAAATAACCTGTTAAAAAAGTCAATGTATACTATATCTACCGATTACCATGTGGACATGTGGGAAATGAAGGGACATGGAAAAAAATAGTTGAAGTGGATTGCTTACTCATCTCTATAAAAAACGGGTAAGGGTTTGAAGAGATCAAACCTATAAAATTTGTTCCCCTTTTACGCTCTAAGCCTTCTCCTTAGAACAACTATGTCGAGTTCAAGCTCATCTCGTTCTCTCGATATGGAGGTCTTACCTCCTGTTGAAAAATGCAAATGCATTAACCCCGTACAAGCGAAGTTGTGCGAGTCATGAAGTAGCGATAACCCAACTTGAAGATTTGTAAACTGGCTAAATCCATGGTAAGGGTTGATTTCTTCTTATCATTCTTATATGCCGATTATAGTGTATGTTTTCCCTTTCTATTTAGTAAGTGCATCAGTACAATCATCGATTTGAGCATGCCCTTGTTGTGCGAAACCCTAACTATGTGAAACCCTAATTGACTAAAAAAGGAAGTCGATGGGATTAACTGCTTTTAGCTGTGAAGCGTATTCATTTGATGTTGTTTAATGATATGATAATCGCCAAAATCACAATGTAGCAGCCAATGTTGATTTTGATTACTTTCTTTAGCATGATCAAGATTTCTTAGCAATGTTTAATGTTTGATTTGGTTTAATTTAGATAACAAAAAATTCTTACAAATATGTTAGGTGGATTGACCCTGAAGTGATCATGCATTATAAGGAAACATTATTGAAACTTCACGCGGATTGACCCTCATACATAAAACTGGTTTTGTTACTTCCAATGATAGGCATGATTAAAAATAAAATGGACTACAACATTTGCATTCACTCCCTCCTCACGATTGTCCATGACTAGATCCTCATTTGTGTCATTGTACTACCTATCTGGACACAATTTATTCAAGAAGTCATCATCAATAGTCTTGTTTAAAGGAATAAAATCGTCTGGAATGATTTCATCTTCCAAACCAATATCTTCAAACATAAGATCTATTTTATAAAGTTCTTTATCCTCACCCTAGATTACAGAACCAATTTCATCACTACCTGATTTGATTTGAACTGATACTCTAAATCATCCCCTATAAGGTCAAAATATATGGATATTAGTATTTCTGTCTTCATAAGTTGTATCTATAAAGTGGGCGCAATCCATTTTGTTTTATATGAACCTAATGCCAGTCGCTAAAGGACGATTACGTAAGGAGTAATATAAATTCTCAAAGTCTACTCCAGTAAATCGTTCTAGGAAAGTCACACATCTAGCCAAGTCCATTTCAACAAAATCGACATCAATAAACAAGTAATGATCACCTCCAACATAAGAACATGGGTGGCGCACCGATCTACAAGAAGAAGAAAATAAACACCAACCGGAGAAAGCTTACTCTAACCAGAGAGAATATCATCTTGGAAAAAGCCCTAGGTATCACCGATCTTCTTCGCTTGACACTTCACTTCATCATTTTGACTAATTTAAGAGGGATATCAACAACTATTATCTTTTTTTATACACCCAAAACACACGTGGAAAAGCTTACTAGGATAGTCAATAACAATAGGAAGTCAAGGGCCACATCATCGATAACCGGGTAACCGACCAACTAAAGTAGACATTAATAGGTTATTTTTTGACTTTGATGGTCTATGAGGTCTAAAATTAACTTAAATAACCATTTAAACATAAAAAGTAAAAGTTTGTAGGATTTTGATGTTAAAAACCTATTCCATTATATTTGTAGTGTAAAAGTTCACTGTCTTCGCTTCGGATTAAATCCTTATTCTAATAAATGAATAACTTTATTTTCATATTGACAAGTGTCAAACTATTAGAGTTTGCCATTAATAATATATGTTACATATCATGCCACTTGTCAATCTATTAATTATGAATTTCAAATTTCAAAATTTAAATTTTCTTACTCTAATTACATTAAATTAATAATTGATTCTCCATTTTAAATTTCAAATTTTAAAATTTTTCACTCTAATAATATTAAATTAATAACATTAGATTAAAAAACAAAATAAAACTAATACATATTATATGGTGATATAACTTTATGTATTTATTTAAATAAACGATTATAATTTTATATACCTAAAAAAATTGATTAATAATTTAAATAAACGTATTTATTTAATTTATTTAAATAAATGATTAAGAATTTTGATTTTTTAATATAAAAGCTTAATTAATTTTATAACCGTGGTTCTCACGGTTATAAACTAGTTAATAATATATAAGTTTACAAGCGACACCACCTTATGCATACTATCATAGTCTAGAGACTTCTTGACACGTATAAATTTCAATTATAAAAGTAATGGTGTCGTGGATGTTTTTGGTGCTATTTTCCTAACCCACTCTCCGCACAATTTCAGCTCATTTGACGTATGATTCGCTTGTTTTAAGAACCTCTTCATTAATTTCCTTTTGTACCATCAATATCTTTTTCATTTTAAAAAAAGTTACAAGGATAGAAAATGATGAAAATAAATAAATAACATTATCTTTTAGATTAGATCAGTTCCACATCACAAATCAAAACGTTTATTTTTTTGTTTTTGAAATATCACTAACATGATGGAAATGCTTTTAATTAACACTTATCTACTGACACACAAACGATACTCTTTCAACATGGTCGTTGAAGCTACATGATTTCACATGGATTAACTGCTAATGATGTCTTCAATATCCATATCCAACCACTGACTTGCTATAATAGCCATTGGTTAGAACAGTACTCGTGGAGCCACATTCACTTTCCATAAGAGAAACACTTGACCTGTCGAGCTTGATTGACCACGGATAGTGATTTGTGTTAGCACCCGCACCAACATGAGACGATGACCGTTGCATCCTGATAGCTCGTGGCACATTCCTCCCCTCAAGAGAAGGTCTCCTCTTAATACTACTTGTAGACTGTCTCCCGTGGGCCCAAGTCTGATCCACAGGACGCTGTTTAGGAGCACTCTGGGATCGAACTTTGGCCCTCGAGGACTGGGTGTTAGCCATATAACTTGGGCACACACCCAAATCATTGATAGTTTCCGTATAATCAGCAATAGAATATGTGGAATGTGGTCTAGAATGATCGGGTTTCGAGTAGTATAGTTGACCAGATTGGTCAAAGTCTTCCGGAGGCTCCGGGGAGACACACGGCCATGCATGAGCATGACCCATATCCATTTCAACAATCTTGATGTTTTCTTCCATTAGTTCTTGATTATAGACACCTTGAAGAGATCTATGATCTTTGGTTCTTCTTTGAGCACGAGCTCTAGCTTGAACCATCACTAGTGCATGCATGCACCGAAGGGTTTCAGCTGCCTGTTTTCGCACTAGGTGACCTCTAACTAACGCTTGCAGCTTCACTAGTCCTCTCAATGCATGTAAAGCTTTTCTTGCTAAGTAAGAGCGGAAAACTGATTGAATCTTTATGGCGGAAGTAGCCTCCTTGACATCAATGTTGGTGAGACGTATCATGGTGGTTGCCTCACCTTGTGGTGCTGCCATTGCCGGAGCATGGTTCTTGTGTTCAAAATTTTCAGGTTGGAAAGAGGGGAGTGTAGTGGATGCAATGTCGGTGGAGTTGGGAGTTGTGGTGGAGGTAGCGGATGATCGCCGGAAGCTCCATCTGCTCTTCTCCTTGGGAGTTGTGGGATGGGTGGAGATGGGGGTTCGTGGGGTTCGATCTTGGGTGGCGATTGGTGGCTGATTGGTGGTTCTGTCTTTCTTTCCGGCCAACAAATTCTTGATCCATTTGGTCGTCTTCCCCATTCCTAAACTGTCATTGGATCACCAAAAGTCAATAATTTGTAGATCTGGATCTATATTTCTCATTGATTTCTTGTTCTCAAAATCACCCACCTATCTATTCAATTATTTGTAGATCCCAAGGGAATACTTATATGTTTTCTTCAACCACCTTCTTTCTTCTTTTTGTCATATTTTAGGTTTATTTAAATCTTGGGCATTTTTGCACTAGTCTAAAATATTTTAGTTTAATATTTATGTACTTTTCTTTTGCTTTCTTTGTTTTATACCAAACTTATTTTACTTCTATTTTATGGTCCGTTTCCCATAAACGTTTTTAAAATTTGCACATAGAATATGTGTTTGCTTAAAATTAGAGTAGTAATTTTAGGATTGTAAACGAACATAAAGTTTGATAAATTATTCAGACATCACCTTTATTTACAAATATAAACAATATCTTTTTGTTTGTTCACCAATAATAGGTCTCGTATATACGTTTATTTATGTTTGTTTATTAATGTTCATTTATTTCGTTTATTTATGTTTGTTTATATTTGTTTGTTAACGTTGATTTATGTGTGTTTATGATAATATATATGTTGTTTGCTAGCGTTTATTTATTTATGTTTGTTTGTTAATGTTTATTTAACATTTTTTAAATTATTGATATGATATTAGTGTTAATAAGTGGTCTAATAATAGATTATGAATTTATACACGACAAGCCTAAGGTGTGAAAATTTTTAAGTTTAATTTTTTGTGTAAAATATTATGATAAATATGATATTTAGACTTTATTTTTGAGTTATTTTTAGATTTTGGACGTTTTACATTCTAGGATTCACATATAATTTTTTTATGTATGGTTATTTGTTTGAATGATTATGTATTGTCTATTCTTTTATGTTCATTGGTATTCGTTTGTTAATGTTCATCGATGGTCGATCTTTTGTGTTCATCCATTTACGTTTGTTAATTTGTTTATGTTTGTTCCCGTTTAACATCTTGATGAATAAATACAAGCACAAACAAGAAAATATGATTGTTTATGTGTTCGTGTTCATTTATTAGTTCAGTTGAACTTAGAGAGTTTTTTTTTCTAGTAACTCCATGTCTAATTAGTTTTTATATCTGAGTTCTTTATAACTTTAAAAATCAACAAAAGCTAGCAAAACCATTTTAATTAAACAACACCAAATTAAATGTTACTACTTCAAGTAATAATAATTATTTTCATGATACATACAAAGATTCTTATAATTTTGTAGAAATCGAAAACTTGTATTTAAATAGGCGAGGCTTTTGTTTATGTTTTTACTGAAAGTACATATACAAAAATTTTAATCATGAAGATAGTTGAAAGAGGGAATATGCAATGTATTTCCAACGAAGGGTGGAAAATAAAAATAAAACTAAAATAATAAATTTTATTTTATTGATATTGCCAGCCTCAAGATGCATGTACGTAGGTAGCTTGGGCTAGATAACATGCCCATGTTCTTCACTAAGCCATCTACAAAGAGATATAAAAAAAATTCACTACTCTATGTCGTATACAAAAACAAGTAAGTACGAATAGATCTCGATATATAGTCATAAAACCGGTAGATAGAATTATGACCGTATTAAATAGAACTAGAACCATATATATTCAACCTATACTCTCTTTTCGTTATAGTAGAATTATGACCGTATTAAATAGAACTAGAACCATATATATTCAACCTATACTCTCTTTTCGTTATAGCAAAAAAAAAAAGATTCTTTGTTGTGAAAGAAAAAAAATAGGTTGTGCTTCCTATGTAACTTATTAGGCGTATTTTTGGTGCGCTGCGTAGCAAAACAAATATATGGTTAAAACATATTGACATTTATAATTTTGTCCATGGTTTTTGGTCATTTTTTATATATAGGCCTTTTAAAATTGGAACCTACGACTCTAGAATATTGGAACCGATATTCGAACATGTTATGTCGGTTTTCAATATTTCAAAACCTCTCCTAAAATTGTCGATATTCGGGTTTTAATTTTTTATTACGGAATAAATTGATTGACTATTACAACATATGAAAATTTAATTAACCATATAAATTATTGATAACGTAAATACAACGAATTAAAGGAAAAGTTAAAATTATAAATAAAATATGTTTAAAATTGATGTCAAAATAATTATAAAATCAAAAATGAGTTTTAGCCCTCCTATGTTATTAGCATAACATAAAATTAGAGGTGCAAATTGTGCTTTTCATTAGCATAACATAAACGATTTGTATTTTGTGAGAGTCTCATGCCATTGTGCTTTTCATTAGCATAACATAAAATTAGAGGTGCAAATTGCAATGACTAAATCTTATTTCACTTTTAATTACCTTACAGTTAAATCATAAATGTCTTGTTTAAAAAGATCATGAATGATTAAATGATTTATAATCAAATAATAGTTTGTAATGATATATCAACAACTCAAATTTACCATTTTTATGGAATATAACAAAATCAATTTTAATAAGCTTTATCAACTACATAATTGTTATCTACAGGAACATTTTCATGTAAGCAATTGTGAACATCCAACAAAACATGAAGACCTAAAAAATTAAACGACGACATGCACTTCATTACAACATCCTAGAAATTACACCCAATGAATATTTTTAAAAGTCTAGTTATACAATTTGAAGTGGAATGAACATTAACACCTGCACCATTTTGCAAACTCCATTATAATTTATACGACATGGATCGTTGGGTTTAGACTTTAGACGGTTAGTTGCATAGTTTCGTTTTGGGACCCCGCTGAACATGATTATAACTTTTGTAACACCCATAATTTTTTTTCAAAATTTAACTTTCACACTCATTTCAAATTCATCAAAAACATTACATACTGGTTTTCAAAACGTATAATATCAGAGTTTTCCCAGAAACATAAACAAAACATGAGGAGCTGTACGATCACTCATTCGCCTTGCCGCGATCCCCTGATGTACCTGAAACAATAAACTGAAACTGTAAGCCCGAGAGCTTAGTGAGTTCCCCCAAAATACCGATACACTTCACATTACACATATATAAACAACAGCATGTACTGGGTCCACAACTTTACAGACTGGATTACCCCCTGGGCCCACAGTGTGAGTCTGGATTGCCTTACGGGCCCACAGCTCACATCTGGCTTGCCATCGAGCCCACAATACGAGTCTCCCTTAGCTCGTAACTGGAATGCTCCCGAGCCCACAGTACGAGTATCCCTTAGCCCGTAACTGGAACGCTCCTAGGGTTTGTTGGCTACCGCACGGAGCAGTAAAACCTCAACCCATCCCACATAACATATATCATACAACATCACCACTGAGCATGCAATAATCATATAACATCACAGGTAGTCCTACAGGTCTACCTAACTGGCATAAATACTAGCATGCAACACTAACTCATTTTCAACATCTAACACTGCTAGGATAACATATCCAATGGGCCGACCTTGGTGCCTTAGACCCCTTAGTATAGTGAGGATAACTCACCTCGCAACTGTCGTCTGAAACTAGAAAGCTCAACTCCCGGATCACCAACACGAACTCCACCACCTAGAATTACCATAAAACCCTTTTTCATAAATTTCCAAATTACCAAAATACCCTCAGAAGTCAACTGGTCAACTCTTGGTCAAAGTCAAAGTCAATAGTCCATGTTGACTAGACTCGTTGAGTGCAGTTCACCGACTCGTCGAGTCCTTCCTGAACTCGAGATGTCGTGAAATCCTTGGTTGACTCGTCGAGTTTCCTCGCAACTCGCCGAGTTCACGCGTATCAAAGGGTTTTGGAAAAACCCTAGCCGACTCGCCGAGTCATACATCTGACTCGCCGAGCCCAAGGCAATCTTCATCGGACTCGCCGAGTTGTTCATCCAACTCGTCGAGTACATGGCTATCTTCATATGACTCGCCGAGTCGACCTTGCGACTCGCCGAGTCCCTTCAATCCTTTAACCATACAAATGCTTTTTAAGTCATGCAAAGGCTCCATATTGCAGATCCACCTTCCCAAGGCATGTTTATCACGTAAAGTTGCAAACTTTACGTGCATGCATGGCTCTAAAGGCTCTTAATGACGAATCCAAGCTTACAATGGAGTTTTTCACTCAAGGAGGGCTTTAAACATGACCAAGCTCGAAACTTTATGAACCTAAAAGCCAAGAAGGGTCCAAATCTGAAGTTGCAACTTCAGATCTAACTCATACACCACAATATAATCATAACCAAGCCAAAACAACCCTAAACCTCACCCAAATGAGATCTAGAAAGAAATGAGGTAAATGTGACGACTTGATACCTTCAAATGATGCTAACTAAGGTATATTTCTGATCCCCCACACTTTCCTTGCTTCTAGTCTCTTGTCCTCCAAGTTCTTCTATCAAAGATCCACTTTCCAAAGCTTAAAACACACAAGAATGAAGCACTACACGGATTAGGGTTTTCTGGACTCTCAAGGGACTGTAAAGAGGCCGAAGGAGGCTTATGATTCTTTAAAGAGGGTGCAAAACCCCGAGATTTAGGGTTTCATCTGCCAGCTCCTACTCGTTGAGTCCCTTCTTGGACTCGGCGAGTTGGTCACTAAATTACATGGACCAATCCGCTGCTACTCGACGAGTAGGGCAACCAACTCGTCGAGTAGACCTTGAAATCAAAGAAATTCTTATTTAATCAATACTTGAGAATCGGGGCGTTATAATTCTCCCCCACTTGAACTAGATTTCGTCCTCGAAGTCTGCCGTGGCGAACAGTTCCGGATAGTGCTCCCGCATCTCTGCCTCTGGCTCCCACGTCCACTCGGACCCCCTACGATGCTCCCACTGTACCTTTACCAAAGGTATCTCCTTGTTCCTCAAAACTTTCATCTTCATCTCCAGTATGGCCACAGGCCTCTCGACATAATTCAGGCGTTCATTGACCTGAATATCATCCAGCGACACCACTGCCTCCTGATCCATAATGCACTTTTGCAACTGCGAAACGTGG